ACAAGCAGCAGCAATCGTATATTTTATTTTACAAGCAGCAGCAATCGTATATTTTATTTTACAAGCAGCAGCAATCGTATATTTTATTTTACAAGCACTGCTCTTTTATATCCTTTTACCTGGATGCTTATCTGTGCATATACTCTACCATTCTACTTTTGCCCAATCCGCTCTCACATCACACGCCATCCAGACAATACAATTGTTGATCACGCGCTGTTCGTGCTCTGGTCAAAGCCAGGATGTTTGCCAACCCTGATCTTGTTTGCTCAGATCTTCTCGGGATTCTCCAGTCTCTTCAAGGGTACACGGGTATCTGCTCAGGGTCGATGTTAAACTTGTATTCTGATCCCTCGGACCAGCCGAGGCCTTCTCTTCTCCAGGCTAAACAACCCTAGAACTTGAGTTTTAAAATTCCAACTCCTGATCACCTTCAATTACCTAGAGAAATATGCTCATGCAGAAACTGCTTTTAAAAACAAACAAACAAAAAGCCTTTACAGGCTGAAAATCGAGGTTGAAATTTAAACCTGTTCTGGGATATCTGACTGATAAAAGCATGCACATTTGCACTGCAGACAGTGAAAACGATCCTGTATCACGTCCCTTGACAGCAGTGATAATGTATACTGAGTTGATTACAGGTTAAACAAATATTGAAAGCAAAAAAGAGGAAAGAAATGGAAGGAAGATTTCCTTTAAAGGAGACACATTAAGATCAACTCTTCTTGCTATAGGAGTAAAGAAACAAATGAAATCAAGCATGATTTAGTCGGAATAAGAAAGGTAATACATAGAAGACTCTGTAGCAGATATAGTTCAACAAATTGAACTTCAAACAGTTATTAGAAGACCAAGAAGAAATACTGTACATTCACTCAAAGAAGATTTCAGCTAAAGACAGAACTTTCAAATTATGCATAAACCATGCACAATAAAAAAAAAGAGAAAGGATAAATTAAAAACTATTGCAGATAGTTACAGGTCAATCCAGCTGAGCAGACACCTTAAAGCTGCCTGTCCTGTCTGAAAGAATTATCTATCTTTCCAATAGCATAGGCTTGATAGCACTTTGTCCTGCAGAGACATAAAAAAGCATGCCAAGTGTCCGTCTACCTCTTTGACTTCTTCAAGGATTTTTTGAAAAGGTTGTAAAGAAACTCCTCACAGGGCATCTGTTACTGGTGGTAAGTGGCCCGCCCAGATCATCTTCACAGCCAAGGAAACTTATCGTTAACCTCACATCTTCAAAATCAATGGCTTAGTCACCAGGCTGAATACCAAGGCAGACTTTAGACTGCATTCCTTCACTCTGAAATAGATACGCGTAATCCCTTTAATTCTAAACTCCTTCTCCTGTAGAAGGATGTAGGGAGGTTCACAACTTTGCATCACAACATGCAGTAATAAATGCATTAGTAGTGTCCACACTCTAAATTCCTGTAGCTTCTAATTCTTCTTAGGCTATTTCTAGATGTAGGACAGCCCAGTCTTCCAAGAGACTCAGTTCTGAAAATTTATTTTACCACGTATTTACTGGGTAAACTTTACATAATTTGTCACTATACTATAGAAGGGCTGCAGCACAATCTCTGTAACCATTACTGGCCTCCATTTACATTACTGGTCCTCCAACAATTCAAGGTCCAGGGTTTCCAGAATCAGAACAGGATGAGCTTGTTTTATACTATCTGGAACCTCTCCTGTGGCTAACCAGCCACAAGAACTTGGCCCTGCCAAGAACTGCCCCCAGAGATCCACCTGACAAATGTCTGAAATCAAATCCGCCTAGACCTGGCTGAGCAACTTCTCATTTCTGTCATGTTCTTGATATAACCTCAGCCTGTATTAGATGATCAAATGCAGTGTTATCTGCACTTGCCATCCTTTCACAATAGCAAAAGAGGGGAAAGTAACCTCTTTTCCCCTACCAGTCTCAAATCCATTGTGGGATTCCACTCTACCAATATTCAGTATTATCCAGGAATACCAAAGTAATTTCCAGTAATGGAATCACAGGAACACTCCTCCCTAAGTAATTATGTGCCCTTTCTTTGCCAGGGATTTTTTTATGTTTTGCTTTATGGTGACTGGCTTTCTTGCTTTTGGTGGGAATGACAATCTGTTAGAAGAGAATGTGAAAAAAACCTCAAACCTGTTTCACATTTGCTGTTCCCCGGTCCCAGACACAGGGGACTTCATATTAGCTGTTATGTACATTTCTAATTCATGGGGGTTTTTAAGTCCCTCAACTAGTATTACTTGAAGGTCTTGTGTCAGTGGTGTTCTGGTACACTACTAGGATATAATCTATGTGGATTCACATACTGTTTGCAACCAGTCTGGTTTTGATGCTATCTCAAGTTTTGTCATTGCTAGTTTACTTCACAGTCTTCATCGTCAGCTTGTTGATGTTCCATTTACTTTGACAATTCTACCCATTTGATAAGTCCATTTACTTTGCACTTCTATGCATTTCATAAGTTCCATCCTTCATGAAAAAGCAGTTCTGGTGCAATCTTTTCCGCAAGATTTCTTGGGGAAGTTTATCAGTTCTGTTTATCAGACTCAGTTTTGATTACAGGCCATTATTCTTTTGCACCAGACCAGACTTTGTGCTAACTCAATGCAAACTTCACAGGTCTCCCTACTCTGCTGCACTTTGGTTATATTGCTGGTTGAGGATTGCTCATTTAGCACAAGATGCTGTGCTAATGTAAACTACAAACTGCTTAGGCAGTTCCATTCCAAGTCACTACTTGCAGTCTCATAATCTGAAACAACCATACAGGTAGAATTTCATAGATCAGTCACCCACTTGAAGGCAATACCAGTTTTAAACAAAATAGTTCACTACTAGAGAAAATACTTGCCTCATTATGTAAAGCCAAATCTTATTTTTAGATTCTGCCTCATGTTCCCATGTGATATGCTCCAATAGCCGTACACAGAAATTAATACAGGAAAAAGGATCAAACTTGCGAGATTTTCATCCTGTGTTCTTTTAATCATCTTTCTTTGTTTCTTTTAAACAGCAAACTCAACAAAACAGAATGCTAAAGAATGATGCTCCCACAAGACTTAAAGAAGTAGAATCATGGGAGGTTTCTGCTGAGCAAAGGCTAAGAACAGGAATGCTGCAGCTTCTAAGCTTTCTGCTTTTAAATATTTAGTAGCTATACAATCTTTAAAGAAAAAAGAGCTTTCTTTTGACTTTATCGTTGTCAGGCAGCATTAAACACCCTGAACAGATGAGTACAAGATGAAAGATTGCCAGAGAGAACTGCATACATTATGATGTCTCAACTTTGCCTGTCAGTGACAACCGAGCAGAATGCCCATTACACTTTTTCCCCAGCAGAAGGTAAAACAGTGCCACCCACTGCTTTTCCAGTGTATTCTCTTACCTTTTAAGTCAACTGCAGAAAGCTGAAGTTGGTACTTTGCAACTACGTAATAGCCAGCTCACGCTAAGCCTTCCTCCCTTTCTCCGTCACTCCAGTACTGTGCTCTTCCACCAGGTTACACATGCACAGTCATATTTCAGTCCCTAGTAAAGCTGCACAAAGGAAAAAAAAAAAAAAAAAAAAGTTCTTTGAATTTGCTCTACTGCAGCTGAAACCTCAGGAGAGACAAAGGCCAAATCACAGAAAAACGAGTGCTTCTTTTACCCTGGGAGCAGGAATTTCTTTGACTATATGTCAGCTTTCCACAGCCACTACTCGTATTCAACTTGTACAGTTTCAAGCTGAAGGTAATACCATATTGCAGCAACTGAAAAGATTGTCTGGAGGGTCAGAATACCCGTTTTGGTTTTTTTTAATATACTACCATTCATTTTGCACCATCCCTTTGGCACACCAGAATAAAAGTTATCAATCACTGACTTCTAAGTTGGTCATGCTCTATAATCAACATGCCTATCCAGCAGTTTATCTGCTGTTCCTACATGGAACATTCATTTAATCCAAGGATCAGCAGTGATGAGTAATACTTAAGCATTGTTACGACAGAGAGCTTAAGAACTTTTTACTTCTGTTAAAAAGAAACCAGTACTCAAGCACATCTTGCTTATCTAGATTATCCTCGGATGGTGAAGAAAGCAGCAACTACAGTTCATTCCAATGTTAGCAAAGTACCAATCAAGTAAGACTCTACAATTACCTCATATTTTATTAGCAGAATACTCTGTAAATCAGTTTACAACAGGAAGCAGGATCCTAAATTGCTCAGGATGAATAATATGCAGGCAAGTATTTCAACAAGAGTCATGTAGGATTCAGTACTCTTTAAAAACAAACTCCTTGACTCTTAACAACACTGGAAAATTCCAGAAAGGTCAGTTGCAGAGTACAGAACTATGTAAAACACTAGGCATGTCCAACTACCTCAAAACCTGTTTAGCTACCTCAAAACCGGATCTATTTTGTTGGTAAGTAAATATTCCTAAACAGTCCTTAAATCTTGTATCTTAGTAATCAGAGATTCTAGTCACGGTTTGGGCTCAGATCATCCAAAATATCAGCAATGAAAACATCAAGTTGTCTACAGCTGAAATCAAGATCCTCAGCTGGAGGGAAAATTGTAGAGTCCAAATGCATGTCAGAGTTCTGACAGCTTAAAAATGTTTAAGCATGCTCATAATAATCTTTGGAAGCAAGTTTCATCATGTTTATACTACTGCTCAATAAATGCCTACAAATTTCTCTTGCTATGCAACTAAATTGCCAAGCACTCACTTTTAAGAAACACTTCTTAATCTGAGCTCACTTTCTCCTTAGAATGAGTAAGCATTTAAGACAACTGATTTCTTTTCAGGCACAAAATATGAATTTTTTTCTCTGGTCCCAAATATCAAGACAGCAGTTACCTAGCGACACAATTGGATGCTCAAATGAATTCACAATTTGCTGTGATAGTTCAACATAGAGCTATGGATCTGCTAAAATAAAGGACAGACGTGATTTTGACTTAGTGCAATACACTTCTAACAGTAAATATACAAAAGACATTAAGGTATTCTAGACATTTATTTTTCAGTGTACAGTATGATACATTTAAAATAAAGAAATAAGGCCCAAATATCATAAAAGATATAGTGTTTGCCAGACGAATACTTGACTAATAACAAGGCATATTCTAGACCATACTTCATGGAGTTACAATTAAGTTCAGGCACATAAACAGGAATACTTTATTGCTTAATGATTTACAACTCTTTTGGCCTATTTAACAGAAAACGAACCAACTGAAGCAGAACTTCATCGTTAAAGCCTTTCACACTACCATCTTCCACAACATCATACAATGGCTTACTGTCTGTACCCCAACAAATATTCTTCCGAGGGTTATTTTGAATAGTTTCTACAGTTAGTGCTAAAGTATTTAGCTGGTAACAAAAGAAAGCAAAGTATTTTCCATCAGTCACTACTGCCTGCGATACAAAAGGACGGGTCACATCTGCTTCACTCCAGAATCCTATAAAATAGAGAAACAACACTAGTTATACAGGACTCAAAATTCCTATCAGCAAATGCATCTAAACGCTGATCCTGAAATACAGAAAAATACTGGGAATTGCACCAGCCACTTAGTAAGGGAAAAAGTCCTGTTTGCTTTAGCAACACAAGCATTCTTCATACAGACTAACTAAAATGCAACCACCAATTAAGGATACTTCCAAGATCAGGGACACAGTGGCATACTTGCATTCTGTAGTTTCCTATTGCTGACTGATAAAAACCCCACACTGATCAGCCAAAGTGACTTCTCAAAATTATGGAAGTTATTGGTGCATCCAAGACCTACAAGTGATATGAGGGGAAATATCTTTTGACTACTCCACAATTCTCATGGCAGTGCACATTTATTTCATGATAGAAGGATGCATATGTATGCATGACCATAACTGACTAAAGCAACCAGCCAGACAACACCAAGAACACTATGTCAGTAAGTTTTACTGCTTCAAACAATCCCTGCTGAGCATTAAGTCTTTTTAAAATATTTTCTTTACATATTTATGCATGTGTACTAGCACACACAGTAATATTGTTAAAAGATATTCAGTACCATGTACAATGAACTTCACTAGAAACTGTTACAGAACAAAGAAAAAGCTTCATAGATTTGAATCATGCTGTGTCCTTGTAACTCATGCTGACAACTGTAACCAGCTTTGAAGCCAAGACTTACTTGACTTCAATGTTTTACATCCACAAAAAAAGTTAAGCTTTCTAACATATCATTACATTAAAAAAAAATTGATGCAAAGCCAGCAATATACATCATACTCGAAGATCTCTCTCTATGGCAGAGGGGCTGGAACTCTATGATCTTCAAGGTCCTTTCCAAGCTAAACCATTATACGATTCTACGATTTTTCTTCCATGTCTTTATTCACAAGTGAAACTACAAACCAGCAGGTATCTTCCAGTAACACTAGATAAGAATTACATTTGCATGAATAAGGAAGACGCTGATCTAGGTCTATCCATCCAGGTCTTTCGGGGTTTTCAGACAAACATAGGCATAAAAGTCTGAAGTAAGGCTGCTGACATTTTTCTTTCACAGATTGTAGTTCCACAGAACTGGCATTTCTGAAACAAGGGGCTAAGCAACACAGTTGCTTCAGAAAAAAAATAAACAGACTGCTTGATATCTACTGCCTTTCCCCATAACAAATGAGGAGTGAGCACATGAATGCAAGACTGAGGATTTTGCACAGGCTTAGTGTTATATATGAAAAAATATTTTTCTGTGTACTTAATTCTCCCTGAGTCAAAGTACTCAAAGACAAAGTATTAAGGAACTCCCTTGTGTAAGGTCTGCTTCATTCATTGGTTCAATTAAATTTTCAAAGACCTACTTAAAGCATGGTCTTCAGAAGAAAGAGCATGAGAAAAAGATAGTGGGGAGAAAAGGTTAGAGAACTTTACAGTAGACATTCATCACCAGGAAGAATTTATCAAGTTGACTGTCTCACCTTGATACATTGCTTGTGCTGCTGTCCAGGCAAAGAGACTTGCAATACCATTAGCTCGATAAACAACTTCAATCTGATCCTCAAGATTTGCTCTTACAAACCTCTCTCGTTTTAGTTTATCGGGAATAAGATGAAACTGGGTGTGTCCATAACAGCATGGGTCTGCTGCTTTTGATCCTGCATTTCCACCCCAAAAAAACAATTAAAACAAAAAAACACTCTTGTCAGTCACAAGAGTCACTCACATAATAAAGAGTCATTCTTTACTATGCATACAAACACATCTTTACTATTAGACTCCAAACAACTCAAGGTTAGAACCCCTAGTGTACATCTGTATAAACTTTGAGATAACTCAATTTCTGGGTGAGACTGGAGGGCTTGCCCAATTCGAAAAGGCAAGAGTTCACATACACATAAAATGTCTCTGAGGAGATGTATCAAAACTCAATGTCAGTTTCCTGCCAATTTTCTATTCAACACAACTCCTGCAAGCGAATCTGGAAACAGAGTACGTATGCACAGAAAGGTACTACTCCACATTGTCTATCTGACACAGAATCTCAGCAGAGATTTAAGATATAAATGTATTTATATAGTATAGTTACAAACAAAAATATATAAATGTTTTTTTCTGTTGATGGGAAGATCAAGGGGGCAGCGTTTGGGGGTTGGGTTTTTTTTGGTTTTTTTTTGTTTTTCACTTTTTTTTAAGCAAATAAAGTAGTTAACATTTCATGACAAGAAACTCTTACCTATAAATACCTTGTTTTCGTACTGCTTTTTGAACAAGGGCAGTTTGGATGGTTTGTGATCAATTACAGGAACATCTCCAAGATCTGACTCCAGTGGCACAAACTTGAAGGAAGCAGAACAAAGAAAAGATGTAATGTAAGACATGTTTCTGACAGCAGGCCTCACATAATGTGCCACTTTCTGGTCAGACAGCAGAAGCTGTAAGTTTTGTTTACATAGACAGTATATATAACTTTAACTAAAATTAGTATTTTGCAAGAGATCTTCTTGTCTTGTGATGAGTTCCAGTATATGCATCTTACATTGATGTCTGAATTTTCTGCAATATCCAAAAGACATTGTGTGAAAAGGTGCTGACAAAGTTGCTAATAAGGAAAACCAGAATCCACTTCTGTAGAAGATGAGTGAAAACATTTCTAACAGCAGTCAATAAACTACCTTGAACCAACAGAGTGAGTTTAAAGGTACTCAGTAACTCTGTACACACTATGTAACATTTTTAGTTGCCTAGACAGTTCTTCCAAAATGCCAAGGTTTGTAACATCAAACAGTACTAACCTAAGAAAATTGTACAACTAAGTTAGCAAGAAATGTTCAGCATTTACAGAAAGCAGAGCAGTTTTCTGTTTGTGGTGGAAACTGCGCAACAGAGACCCTCACAGACTACACAATTACGACTGTATAAACCTACAAGAAAAAGATTAGAAACTAAATCAGTTTCCAGAAAACTGAGCATTCAAGGAAACAACTGTTAAGCACTAACACATAACAGATCTCACATTAAGATTATACACACTCTCTCCTACTCCTTTCTTTTCTTCTCCAACTCTCTCATCTTACCCTCCTCCACTGAGAGGACATTCCATGCCACATTTTTTTATTCTTGCTTCCACTTACAAGCATAAATAAGTTAAAAACCCCATTTATTTAAGAGTAACAATATGTATTTCATCTAAAGCACAAAGATGACCAACTTGAAGTTCAGAAGACTGCCTCAAGATCTATAAAGCACTTACCACAATAACGTAGTAAAGGCATTAAGACTTGAAACACGGACAAATGTGCTACATGCCTGATTAACCACATCCTCCACAAACTACCTATTGCATAGTTTCAGTGGCTGTGAGAACATAAGTGAAAACACACGTGATTAACTTGCTGTTGAAAATATCCTCCCTCACCTCTGGAAGCTGCTTTGGCACACGGATTTGGAGGTGTGGGTGATCATCTATCTGAAATCGCACAGGATCAACTCTACCCTTCCGATGTCCGTGAACAACAACTTCCTCACCATGATGCCAGTAATAGTTAACTTCAGGTTTTAGATCTGAAACAAAACAGGGACAGAAAGAGATCAGCTCTTTGCAATTAAAACCCTCCCAACTCTTGTTCTGTAGCTGCAGTAAAACAGAGAAATCAAAATCCACTTGCACCGTGTGGGACAGCGGAGATGAGATGAATCACTAGCGATGGTCTCAACAACTCAGCTACACCTGCAGCACTCCTGCCGGGTTCACAGACCGGCCCCACCGCCCAAAGATTCCCACTTCCCTCTCTCCCACCCCCGTTCCGCACCAAGGGAGGAAGCAGCCAGCAGCGGGTTGCGACCGCACAGAAATGCGGCGAGGGTGGAGACGAGCTGCGTCAGGAACGGGCCGGGCGTGTGGTCCTGATCGCGGTAGAGGAACGGCCGCTTCTTATTCTGGTAGAAGCTCTCCTGCAGGAGGGCGTCGCAGGCGAGGGAGCGCAGCTCGCCAATATCCAGGTACGGCGCTGCTCCCGCCGGGGGTTTCGCAGC